TGTTTTATCCCTCTCATATTGAACGTTTGGAATACGTAAAAAACCTCCCTGGCAGTAGTCCGTTTCTAGAGATGTTGCATGCCACAGTTGCATGCTAGATAAGGACCATAATCGAGTAAAGCTTTCGAATCTTGGATTATCAGCGAGAGGAGAATGTTACAAAATCAGCAAAGAAGAGAAAGTGCATTTGAGGATACGTTGGTGAGTAATTCATTTAAAGATTAGGCCAGCATGCTGAGAACAAGGTCACGTAAGTAGAGAGAGATTGAAAAATTTTCCGACGACGCCCCGCACTCGACATCCATGCGCAGTTGGCATGTACGCGTATTACTCAGGGTCAGTGAACATACTCCGGCTTTAAAGTCATTAGAGAAAGGTTCAAGCATGCTTTCCTGGGTTCAGAAAGTTGAGAGTCAGGAAGCATTCGGTATTTCTGTAGTTACAGATAGGCCTAACCTCGAGAAAACAAATCGGTTTCTGCACTTTTTCTTACAAACAGACCTCACGTCCGTGGTGACCCGTGAACTTCTGATTTACCTTTTAATGGGAGTAGTTTTGTACTAGAATTCTCACATATTTAAGGGCGAATAACCTCCCACGGAAAATGAAAACCTTCCCTGCACGCGACTGCGCGTGGTGGCGTGCGGCGAGCGCGGTTCTCCAACAGGGTGCAAGTCCTTGAAAGGCAGGCTTGAAAGTAATTGTACAGTTGACGTACTCAGACAAATAGCTTCCTTGACTAATGAAGTCGATTTGCGGCGCATCGTTGAAGATAGCCTAATCAAAATATTCTAGCCGTTCATCATGAACTCCCAGCATTCAGGCATGCACCTGAAGTGATAAAAACTGGATTCTACACTACACCATCCGATGTCTTCTCCTATGGCATCCTCGTTTGGGAAATATTCCATTACGTTCAAAGGCCATATGGTAAAATTGAGAACCATGTCATACGAGAAAAGGTAGTACACGTTAAGTCAAAACCCATTTTTCCTAGAACACTCCTTCCAAAATTAAGAGAATTTTCAAACAACATTCTAAGAAATGTTTCCAAAGCAGGCGACCTTACTGCTAACGCTTCCCACTGCTGTTGCCTAGGAGTTTCCCAGACGTCTTCATATATGTAAATTCACAAGTTTCAGATCTCTAAACCAGATTTTCGACCTGGAGTGGATAAATCACTTCCCGAAGAAATCAAACACATTATGGAGTTCTGCTGGAAAGCAGATCCATCTAAACGACCCGTGATGGCTACTGTGGTCGGATACATCCGAAATAACG